CCAAAGCAACTGATACTGTCACTTTGAAGGCCCTTTATTTATAGCAAGCTTGGTGCTCTGCTCTGTGCCTAAAATAAAGATGAGGGACCTGGCCCTGTGCTCTTTGGAGCAACAGGTTCATGAGATGAAAGTTCCAGCTCAAGGAAGATTCAGGTCACTTTAAACTGCAGAAGAGGAGGAAGAATTCTGCAGAGTCCCAAACCCAGAGATGCACTTAGACAAGGGAAAACAGGTGGAGATAAAAGTACCCCCAAACAGATGGTGGTAACGTAAACTATGAGAGGCAGGGGGAGGTAACACAGTGAAGCTGTGGCCAGTGGGCAAGAGAGCTGGGCGGGGCAGGCAGAGGAGAGGATTTAGGCAACAAAGAGCCCGAGCAGGTGAAAAGCCCTCAAATGCCCACACATAAAAGAGAGAAGGAGCTGGGTTGTGTGGGGTGGGGGGTGGGCAAAGACGTGTTCCTTGGATGGAAGGATTCAGAGCACAGAAGAAGGGAAAGGAGAGTTGATGTGAGGGCAACTGTGCAGGCCGCCATGGCTCCCAGGCAGGCTGTAAGCCTGCGTGTGTGTTTGCCCGTGTGCTGTCCGCAGTTCCCCTCAAGGCCCACTGGCTCCCTGCTCTTCTGCTGCTCACTTTCTCCAGAGCCTACTTTTTGGACTTGTGCGTGTGCATGTTTCATATTTTTGATCAGTTAGGATAATGACCTCAAAGGCTTCCTGGACACCTACTGATCTCATCCACATCAGTGATAATGAAGCCCCCACCCTGCACCCTGCTATCAGCCAAGGCTTGCTGGACTCAGAAATCTAGCCTTCTCCCCTGAACCCTGTTAGTGTTCTTTGCCACAGCATCATTTCGGCAATTCCTTTGTCTCGGTCTACTGGAGAGTACATAGAACACCCCACCCACATGCACATTAGGGATGGACAGCCTTCTGTTCAGCAAGCTGGCTGCTCCTCTAGATGCCGGGCCACTGGCACCAGCTCTGCTCTTTTAGTCCTGCTCCAAAGGAGCAGAAAGTACAGGTGCCAAGCCAGCCCCAGGCGCAGCTTCGCTCTCCTGTGAAGCGGGAAGCAACAATAGGTTCAAGACAAACAGCATAAACCACCCTGATCTCCACTGGTGTTATGCATGCTATAACCATGTTACTGGTCCAAAGTGTGGGATTTTTTCAGCCCAGGTGTCTCATGTGGGCGTGGGCAAGTGCCAGTGCTCCTGGCTGCAGTTTTTCTCTTAAACAGAGGCTGGCACATGCCCTCCAACCTGAGACCCTTGGTTCGGAGCCACCAGGATGGAAGTTCTTTCCCAAAGGAGATACATGTTCACAGTGCTCTTCTGAAAATTCTACCCAAGGATCCCAAAGACATAGCAATTCTATCTTCTGTAGGGCAAAGTGATACATACTAGTTTGACACATGGTCTGGCAATGGAACAGCAGGGAATCTCAGAGACTCCCTTCCCATGGATTTAGGGATACTACAGGAATAGGAATATTATGGAGGAGGTGCAGACAGACACTCCTCACTGTTTGGCAAAGTATGTTCAACTTAAGTTCTGCCACCCCACCCCTGCTCACACCTCACAGCACGCGCGCACGCACACACACACACACACACACAAGCATCTGTGCAACTCCATGGCCCCTTGCCTTTCCCTCCATAAATGCACGTGTCATGTTTATATAAGGTTCATTCGTTCATCCAACAACATGTTCACTGACCACCTACTTTGGGCCAGGCACTGTTCTAAGCACTAAGGATGTAAATAAAACAGATGAATTCCCTCTCCCACTGGCCTTGCATTCTGGTGGCAGGAAATACACAATAAACAAAGAAATAAATATTTGTCAGACGGTGATCAGTGATATAAAAAAGTAGAATACGGGGGAGGGTGGTGGTCAGGGAAATCCGCTCTGATGCATTTGGGCAAATGCCTGAAGGAACTGAAGGGAGCCCTGCAGGCGGTAGAAACAGCAGGGATGGGTGGGAGTGCACTGGGAGCTGGAGTAACAGTGAGACAGCGGCCAGCCAGGGTGGCTCGAGCAACGAGGGAGGGAGACGGGTAGGAGACAGGTCACTGTGATGGGGGGACCAGGTTCTACAGGATCTGTCAGGCCCCACCTGCACCTATGGTGTGGAGACAAGCTGCAGGGATCCAGGGCGAGGCAGAACGGCCAGGTAGGAGGCTGCTGTGGAAATTCAGAGGAGAGAGGCTGGTGGCTTAGACTAAGGGCAGACATGGTGGGAAGTGGCCAGAGTCAGGATTTGTTTTGAAGATGGAGCTGCAGGATTTGCCGATGTGGGGTGTGAGAGAGAGACATGAAAGATGATCCCAAGGATTTGGGCTTGAGCCAAAACCTACAGCTCTCATGTTCTGAGATGGGAAAGACGATGGAGTGGGAGGTAAGGAGTCAGTCATACCACAGATCTCCATGTTGTAAACCACCGCCAGCTGACGTTCCCACGCATGGGGAAGTGGGGGAAGAGTTCTCACCTTTAACCCCCGCTCTGCCCACTGCTGGCCCCTCCTTCCCACTGGGGCTCTTCCACCCACCCCACAGCCAGCCCCTCTGGGTATTCCCTGTCTGCTGTTTTTCATGACCATACTTTCCGGATAAGTTCTCTTCTGCTGGTGACTCAGTCGCTTCTCTGCCACAGCCTGCTCTTCTGAGGGGCTCCTTGGTCAGGAGATGTCTCTCCCACCTCACTTTCACTCTCTGCCTCCTGGTCCAGTCCATTCTGCCAAACCCCTTCCCCATTTAGGTGACTCTGGAGTTGGGGCCCTGCTGTCTGACTCTCTTTAGAGTCCCCGCAGCTGTCAGACATATCTGGATCTCAATTAGAGGCCTGGTTTGAGTTATTTCTCTCATGTCTGTTTACCTCATGAAAATTAAGACTCCAACCTTCCATGGCCATTGAGACTTTTCCAGAATATTCCATGACAGTGGGGCATACAAGGATCTCTTGGAGGATCTGTGACTTTAACCCACATGCAGACACTCTTCCCTCTGATACAGCTGAAAATGCTCATTATAAATGTGCTGTAAAGTTACTGGATCCTAAATACCACTTTATTGACAAGTGTTGCACTGGCCGTGTGAGAATCCCCCAAGCCCCAGCGCCAGAGATCATGATTTCATGGTTTCAGAGCTGGACCTGGGAGTCGGTGCTTAGGAAATGACAGAACTCAGCTGGTATGATTGCCAGGCAGGTTTGGGGAACTTGCTTTAAATGTAACAGGGGAGGGTTTTCTACTGCAAGAGAGACTCTCCTGCTTCTTGCTTTAAGCAAATCACTACAACCTCTGGTCTACAGGGGTTCAGGGCAGTCCATGACACATACTGGGATGCACAGGATTTACCTGAAGACAAAGACAGGGAAGATGGAGGGAAAAACCTCTGTGTCTGCCCTCCAAAACTCTGAGCCTTCTCTGGTGAGACAAGACTATCGCAAATGAAAAACCCTTAGGGGCATTTATTTATAGATTAGATACAAATAATGCATGTTAACATTCTGCAAGCAGAGGGGTGTGGCCAGCAGGCAGAAGAGAGGCGGAGAAGGCTGAATCCGTGAAGAAGAGAGCATTGGGAGCATTGGAGGCTCCTGGTTGGGAAGAAGTCCATGTTTATACCCAAACTGTCGGCCCGTCTGCTTCTGTCACTTCGTATGGAGCCGTTCTCTGGAGAGAAGTGCCGGGCTGGGGTGCAGCCGGAGGCCGCAGCAGGCATGGTTCACAAGTAGTTGACATACACAGCGGGAGCAGTTCACTGCCTGGATTGGTGATGTGCTGTGCCAAGGGGATGGGATCCTTCTGCTCTGGTACTTGCTCCCATTGGGGCTGTGTCCCTTCAGCCACAGGGCCTTTCCTGATCCTGAACTGCCCCTTGCACAGGACCTAAGCCGCATCCTGTGGCCATTGGTAGGTTACTCTCTCGCACTATTCCAAGAGAGAGGGATTTTCCCCAGCCTCTGCATCGACAGTGGGGAGAGGCTCGGTGACTGTAAAGAGTGGGGACCTCTTCTCCAAGGAACCCACCAAAAGCCCATCTCTGCTCAGGGCACAGCTTCCTACCCCACTCTCAGAGGACATGTGCTGTGAGCTGTTCCCAGTATGTGTGACACATAGACTGTCACACATACAGTCTATGGAATCCAGGATTTCCCAAACTTGCCTGCTTATCAAAACCCTGTGAGGTGCTTGTTAAAAATACATATATCTGGGCCCACTGAATCAGAATCTCCAGAGGAAAGGCGTTTTAGAAATAAGTTCTTAGGACACGGTAAATTTGGGCAACTTCTCTAAGCCTTGCGTCTTCTTTTACCCGTGGGTGCTCTAATTTGTGCCTCTGCTAGACAGCTGCACCTGGGCTGAGCTCAGGCTGGAAAGATCTTTTTTTTTTTTTCTGTTTAAAAAATATAACAGTAACAGTAACTAGTAATCTTCATCCACTGTGTGCCAAGAACTACACTGGGGGCTTTTGGAAGGGGGATTATCTCATGTGATCCTCCCAGTAACCTAACAAAGTACTTGCTATTCTTATCCCCGTGTTGTCAGACAGGGAAGCAGAAAGAAGGGAAGTGAAATGACTTGTCCAAAGACACCCGCAGCCAGCAGCTGCCAGTGCGACGTTGCAACTCAGGCTCTGACCTCTGGGCCCTCCCTATTTACGGTCACACATTACTGATCTGGGACCTTGACTTAACTAGATCCACACTCTAATTGTGAGCCTACCAGCCAGATTCACACCACCACTGCCGCCACCACCACCCCAGGGAAAGGGGAGAGAGCAGGGAGTGGAGATCCATCTCAGGGCTCGAGGTGACATGCAAGTGCCGAACACGAAGGGGAAGCCACTCACTGCTGCACGTTGGTCCTTAGGTACTGGAACTCCCTGAGCAACCTGGTGGCGTCCCTGCTGAACTCCGTGCGCTCCATCGCCTCCCTGCTGCTCCTGCTGTTTCTTTTCATCATCATCTTCTCCCTCCTGGGGATGCAGCTGTTTGGCGGAAAGTTCAACTTCGATGAGATGCAGACACGAAGGAGTACATTCGATAACTTCCCCCAGTCCCTCCTCACCGTGTTCCAGGTATGGACTCTTCGCTGGTGGAGGGGCCTTGGACAGGTGCTGGAGAGCATCCCTTTCCAGTGGGCAGCTGGGCCAGCCTAGATTCACCCCAGAGAGCCTGTGCCCAGCACAGTCTTGAGCTCTCTCTGCAGTTTTCCCGACCCCCACCCCCATGGAATCCCACTGGTGGGTGAACCACTGGGCAAAAAATCCAATTGAGTGGTTTAAAAATGCTTTCTTAGCCATAGAACCCTTTAGTCATATAACTTCTACATGAAAGCCTGAAGTATAAACAAAGAAGAGCAAACTGCTCTTGTAGGGGGGATGGAGCTTGATCTTTCCTACCCACTACATGAAAAATACAATTAGCCCACCAAATGTGAGATTTCATAGCTATTTTGGCTGAAGGCAAAGCTAAAGGAGCACTTACTTAAGTTTAAAAGTAGGTTGATTTATAGACAAAAATGAATAATATGAGGATATTGCCAAAGTCTTAAAGATGGTACCCAGATGACAGCTGTGTGGGAAAGCTCGTGCAGCCTGTTACTGTCTCAACACACACACTCACAGCTGTGAAGGGCCCTGGTGTCCTAACCCAAGGAATGCTAACAGAGGTCATCTCAGGCACTGTGTGTAGACAGTGGGGGATGTGTTGACCAGAATGCCCTTCCAGTTGCAATGGCCACGTGCTTATCTAAGGATAGGCTCAAACTTGCCCAGGTCAGCAGCTCAGAGCCCCTGGGAGGAGAATTGGGGGCCACGAGGAGGGAAAGGGTGAAAGAGATTTTGGACATTTTTATAAAAATAGTGGGGCAGGGTAGGGTGGTTTTGGGGTTTGCTGTTGGTCTAACACTGTGTCCCTTATTGGTGGGAATGTGTCATTCAGATCCTGACCGGGGAGGACTGGAATTCGGTGATGTATGATGGGATCATGGCTTATGGCGGCCCCTCTTTTCCAGGGATGTTAGTCTGTATTTACTTCATCATCCTCTTCATCTGTGGAAATTGTATCCTTTACCGCTGCCTCCCCACCCCCCTGCCCCCAGCCGGCAGCACAGTGCCACATAGGCGCACCCGCAGGCCCTGGCCAGCCAGGGAAGGCTGCCTGGGGGGAAGCATCACCAGTCTGGAGCCACTTTGGCAGTGGAGGGGTGTCAGGGTGGGAGCCTGCGGCTTTGGCATAGGTGAGGTTCATCTTCCTGAACCTGTCCAGGCTACAGTGAGCACGACTCCAGGAGGCGTGTTCTTGTCACAATCTAGGTAAACAGCGCCCCCTGGCCTCGTGTGGTGTGTAGCCGCTCACAGCGACTGTGATGTAACCGCACCTGGAGTTGGGTGCCCTGGCTGCCCTGGGGCCCCTGCTTCTGCTCAGAGCTAGGATGCTCAGTGAAGGAAGAGTGGGCTGTCGTCCTTGAAATGACCTTCCACTCTCCTCCCTCTTAAGCCCGCTCTCCAGGACTTTAGCCACAGGCAGAGCTGGCCATGCTTCACCAAGCAGACCTGACAGATCCTTCCCAATCCAGGCCACAGGCAGGTTTCCAGGGTCTCAAGCCACGGGCCCTGCTTCTGCTCATAAGCCTGTGAGAATTATGTCCACAGGCTGGGTGGTAAAGCAGACTCAGGTTAAATCCCAGCTTAAGATAGTGCAGAAAACATGGTCATTAAAGCCTACAAAGAAGGCTTCACATTTTGCCAGCTGGTGACCTCAGCAAATCATAGGTTCTCTCCCTTGGTGTCTGTAAAATATGGTAATAAAATAACAGTGCCTACTGTAAGTTTTAATGGGATACTGCACATAAAGCCCTACTACAGTCTGGGACCCTCGGATGAAGTAGTCAGTAGTCTCCTTGGATGAGCCCTTCTGCCTGGGTTTCAGCTTCCTTATACATGAAATGGTGTGTATGTCTGGGTGTCTGAGGGTGGAGATTGGACTTAACAAACTTTAAGACCCCTTCCAGCAATACTTTGTTTGGCTCTGCAGTTCTCTGACCCACAGTGTTTCTTTGGGGGTGGGGGGAGCAGAGAGAAACAGGCAAATGACTGCTTCAGTTAGGAATTCCCGAGCTTTGGCCAGCTCCAGCCAGCCCCTCCAGGGGTCTTTGTATGTGCAGGCTCACATTGAGAGTTGGCAGAGATACCAGGCCACCTCCTTGCACCCAGCCGTGTTGGGCTGCTTATGAGCATGCTGCATTCTACTAGAGACAGTGTTGTTTGTAATATCTGTTACAGCCTGTTATCACAGTGCAGAAACCAATCGTGAAACCCAGCAATTAAAAAGCAAGACAGGGCTTGCTGCCTCACCCCACCCTGCTCCAGCCTGTGAGCTAGCCCGCCTCAGTCTCTTAGAAAACTCCAGCTCGTTGGGAGGTGGGTGGGGAAGGAGGGACACTGTTGGGCTCTGAACCCCTCCGCGTGACTCACAGTTTAGCTCTCTTTGCTGGGGAACTCCACCCCTGCATGTCCTACACCCCCCTGCCCCCCGTGCCTACCCCAAACCCCAAGGCCAAGGGTCATTTTCTTTAAGAATGGATACAAACAGATATCCTACTGAATGTGTTCTTGGCCATTGCTGTGGACAACTTGGCTGATGCTGAGAGCCTCACATCTGCCCAAAAGGAGGAGGAAGAAGAGAAGGAGAGAAAGAAGTTGGCCAGGTAACCCTCAAAGCTTCCTCAGACCAGGGCCCCAGGGTCCTAGTTCTGGAATACTGTTCCCACTGGTGGTGAAGAGGGAGGGGGTTGGAAGCTAGCCCTGGTCAGCCGTCCCACCTAGAGGGGTGCTGGGTGGGAGCTTCCTACAGTAAGCTGAGCCTCTCTCCTAATTCCTAGGCATTGCTCCAGTAGGCACCATTGTGAATTATAACCTCTGCAAAACAGTTGTACTGCTCACCTGTCCAGGAAGTTGGGGGTTCTCTTTCAAGAAGAGAATCCATGATAGGTGGTCGGGTATACGGTGGGGGAAGAGGAAGGCAGCCACTCAGAGGGGAAACACAATTCCAACTTAAGGAGTGACTCCTGCTCACTTTTTTTTTTTTTTAATTCATCTCCAGTGTTAGGGAGGCAAGACAGGGCCCTACATTGTATCCCATCAGTACCCAGACGGGACTGTTATAGGCCATGCATCTGCAAGGTACCAAGCAGAGTTCCTCTAGGAACCAATCCTAGATGAGATCCAGAATCTTTGTCTTATCTAGGGACTGGAGCAGCTGAGAAGCTGGGAGAGGCCAACTGAGTGCCAGACTGCGCCAGGCACAGCCCAGCCCCGTAGCGCATGTGGTTGAGCTGCACACGTGATGTGCCCGGGTAAAGAAAGATGGACAGAGACCCAGGGAATCTACTCCCACTGGCCCCCAGCAGCTGACAGGACGGTTCCCTAGCACTGTTCTCTATCACTCCATTAAACATCTTTTTTTTTTCCTCTTGTTGACTGGCCAGAACTGCCAGCCCAGAAAAGAAACAAGAGGTGGTGGAGAAGCCGGCAGTGGAGGAGACCAAGGAGGAGAAAATTGAGCTGAAATCCATTACGGCTGATGGAGAGTCCCCACCCACCACCAAGGTGAGCAGCCACCTCCTTCCAAGAGCTGCGAGGGCCATTGCTGAGGGGAAGCGGGACACCGTCTCCCAACGCCAAACATCCACAGAAAGGAGGAAGGGAGGAAGGATGCTCCCTGGAGAGAAAGCCAGTGGGGGTGGATTAGCAGAGCTGGGTGGGTGAAGCGAAGGCGATCAGGTAAGCCCCAGCCTCCTGTGGATGTCTTGAAGGGGTGTGCAAAGGGGCAGGAGTGCATTTCTAGCTCAGCCACTGGCTGCAGTGCACTTTCAAGGCTGCTCCGAGCCTCTAACATCATGGACGTATCTAAGTGCATTCTTCCTCCTTCTCCCTCTTGGCTTCCTAGATCAACATGGATGACCTGCAGCCCAACGAAAATGAGGATAAGAGTTCCTACCCGAACCCAGAAAACACAGGTACCAGCCCCACTGCCTAACCTGAGATGGGGAGGTTGGGGTCAAGATCCGAGTTCTAAACCAACATGGCCGTGGCCACGTACTGGGGACCAGTGTTCCAGTTTCCCTCCGCAAGTACCTAGCTCTGCTAAATGTCTCCTGTCTTGTGTTTCAGCATTCCCGCTTACCCTCTGGGGGAAAACTTTGTTTCAGGTTTCCTCATAGTGATAATATTAGGTTAAATAAGATCACATCTGAGCAGTGCTTTTGTGTCCTTTGGAAGCTGGATCATATGTTGTAAAATCACTATTAATTTATATAGTTTATTAGTATGACATATGTCGCAGCATTTTGCTCACTTAATAGTAATAATAAATCCCAAATCTGTCTTGCCCTCACTCAGGAGGCAGTGCTGATAGGACAGCTGCCACCACAGATGTCCCACGTGTTGCTTTGTAAAATGCTTTCATGTCTCTATTATAAAAAGCGTTCTTCCCGACTCCATCTTCTGTGCTTCTGACATGTATATTACAGGCAGTCTCCTTTCAGAGAGTTTTGAGTCAGAGGTCCTCCCTCCAGGATTCACTCCCCCTGCTTCCTGAAACCCTATATCCCTGTGCAAGCCCTGGGCTTTCCTTCTTCTCACCTGGAATTGCAGATATGACCACAAGCTTCAAGCTTGAAACATGCAGTCAAGGCACTGTTGATTGTGCTGACATTTCTTTCTCTACAGTAACCAAGTTAGGTGGCTGAAACCTTCTACATTTAGGAGAAAAGTGAGGTTTTCCTTTTCCCTTTGCCTCCACTGGTTCTCTGCTGGATCCTCAAGGATGCTAGCAGCATCCTCTGCTGTCCTCAGGAAGCAGGCTGTCTGCTGTCACACCAGCCTCACTCCCCTCCCACTGGACGGAAATAGCACTTGGTTTCCTGGGGCTCGAACAGAAAGATCAGGAAGGGTGTTTCCATGTTCAGGGCACTAGCCTTTTGAAGTCCTAAAAACCCTTCTGGGGGGGAACTTTTACAGAATTTCAAAGACTTACTAGAAATATTGACAAAATACAATCAGAGGATCTTGTCTTGATCCTAAATAAATAAATAAACTTTAAAAATAACATTTTTGAGATGAATGGGAAAAATTGAATGTGGACTAGGAACTAAATGACTTTAAGTAGTTTTTGTTAATCTTGTTGGTATAATAATAATTTTGTAGTTCTGTTCTAAAATGCTTAATTGTCTACGGCTGGAGTCTAAAATGATTGAAACTTGCTTTTAAAATACTCCAACAACAAAAAAATGGAACAGAGAAATGAACCAAGATTGGCAAAAAACATCAGTGGTTGTTGAAGCTGGGTATGTGGAGGTTCACACTACGAGTCTCTCCACTCTCAAGAGTATTTTTAAAGTTTAAAAAGAAAGACAGCAATAAACAATCCCTCTGGGCCCAGAGAGGAGCCGGCTGGCTGGCTGGTCCTGAGCCGCAGGGCAAGACAGGAGAGAGGCATCTCCACCCCTGCTGCGCCTACTAGTGAGTGGGGCCGACGCCCACCCTGCCTCTCTGGCAGTGATCTCAAATTCTATTATTCTAAACAGACTCCTGGCTTTTCTCTTCGTTGTTGCTCTAATGAAATCAAAGAGAAAAGTGTCAAGAAGAAAAAGGACTAATGAGGACATTGGTCACCACGTCGGCCATCACAGAAATGTCTCTGTGTTGACCCAGCACATAACTGTCCAGTGGCTTGTGGATTCTTACAGCTTGTGCTTTTGAACTGAGAACATATTCCCGTGATCTGCTGATTCCTTGGGATTCTTTAGATTTTCTAGTGTGTGTCCCTTCCCCGGTCGTGTGGCCACCTTCGTTTCTCTTGGTCCCACGCATCTCTTTACCTTTGTTTCAAGACCGTGGCCCACAGGTAATTGTGGCTGTCCTGCCCTCACCCCACTACCACCAGGCAGGCCTTCTAAGCCGTCCCCACGGCCCCCATTTGTTCATTGTCCCAGTTTCCATCTTCTCACCCAGGAGGCTGTTAAAGCTGGTGGCTCCGCTCACCCTCACTCCCCGAAGGCTAGGTCAGCTTGGGCTTCGCAGCTCCTCCTGCCCTCTCCCTGCAAGTCATCTTCTTTATCCTCTAGTGCCGGGTGCAACACAAGTTCCCACAGACTTGGCCTGTTGTCTTCACTCTTGTCAATGTCTTGTTCCCGCCTGCTTCTCTTTGTCCTGAACCGGGAAAGGCAAAGAGCCTGATCTACCATAGTCCTCCCACCATTACCCCTTCGTTTTTTGCAGCCTGTGTGTGTGCTGGGGAGCCTTGGAGGCTGCTGGAGGCAGCACTGTGAAGCCTTCCTCCCGCTGTGCTGCAGCTAGACTTTGGAGAGAAAGGGGGGCCCTTCCACACTCTCCTGCCCCCTCCTCTCCTCCGGGCCTTGCCCTGTGCCTGCACCCCTCTCTCCAGGGCTGCTGTGTGTCCTTGTCCAGGCTGTAGCCAAACGTGTGTGTCGAAGTGGCTGAGTGGGAGCCGAACTCCAGTCTGCACTCTGCTGGCCACGCATTTGTCCCAGCACAACTGTTTCTAATTTGCACAAAGGGGCCACAGAGGCCCCTGGTGGTCCTAGTGTCCCTCCCTCTCTCCAGCTGGTATTAGCCTCCTAGATTAGTGTACACTAACAGTAGAGAAACATCTACTCCCCTAGGAAGAAAAGCATTGTGCCAAGAAAAGTAGGAGATAATTCCACTTTCATTTAGTGTATTAATTTATTTGAGGGAGCATGAAGATGTTTATAAGAGCCACCACAGACTTAAAATTAGCAGGTACTGGGCCGGCCCGGTGGCGCACTCGGTAGAGTGCAGCGCTTAGGAGTGTGGCGGCGCTCCCGCCGAGGGTTCAGATCCCATATAGAGACCGGTCCGCTCACTGGTTGAGTGCGGTGCGGGCGCGACACCGAGGGTTGCGATCCCGTTGCCGGTCGTGGTATGGGCGCGACACCAAGGGTTGCGATCCCGTTACTGGTCACGAAAAAAGACAAAAAGGGAAAAAAAAAATTAGCAGGTACTCATTAAACAAGGCAAGTGACACTGGAGAATGGGCAGTGCTCCTCCAAACGTTCTGGGGTAGGGGCCTATAATTGTTGTGAGGGGTTCAAGGACAAGAGAGCAGCAAGCAGTGGAGTCTAGGTGCTCAAGGGGAAGGGTGGTCTTGCCTGGGTTTTGAGTCGGGGAGTTGGAGAGACTGCAGAGGTTATGTTAGGACCACACTATAGACATCACAGACACTGAGAGTTGGGAGAAACCTTGGAGCTATTCATTCACGTAAAACTACTTAGGAAGCTCCGGCCATGTTCCAGGCACCAGGGATACAGTCATGGGCAAGACAAACAAGGCCCTACCCTCCTGGAGCCTACATGTCAGTGGGGAGACAGACAGTAAGTGAGGCAGCAAGCCCACCAACAGGTCCTGCCAGCCGATGTGAGATGATGAAACCAAGGGTTACGTTAGAGTTACTGGGTGGGGCGGGCTGCTCCGTCTGTCCAGTAAAGGCTTCTTCAAGGATGCAACATTTGGTGTGAAGCCTGAGTGATTCAAAGGAACTAGACATGGAAGTCAGAGGGAAGAGCTCTCTGGGAGGAGGGACTAGCAGGTGCAGAACCCCTTAGATGAGTGCACTTGGTGCAGAGGCCTCCAGCAGGGTCTAGAGTGCCTGGAGAGAGAAAACAAGGGGAGACTGCTAGAGATGACCCGGGAAACCAGGCAGGAGCAGAGGGGCTAGTCCCCGAAGGCCATGTGAGTGGGTAACGTCTGCTCTGATGCTCTGGTGAGCTGCCAGGGGGTCTCAGCAGAGGAGGATGTGACTTGATGTCCAGCTTCTCCTTTCAAAGACTTGCTCTGGCTGCTGTGTGGAGAAGGGTAGCCAGTGGCTGAGAGCAGGAGGACGCTGGAGCAGCAGTCCAGGCGAGCCACCGGCAGCTTGGTCTGAGGGCATGGTGTTGGGGACACAGTTGGTCAGGCTCGGGGGGCATTTTGCAGGTACGGCCAACTGGACTTATTAGTGGCTTAGATGTTGATAAGACATAGAGGAATGAAGGGTGACTCGATTGAGCCAATAAAGAGGAGACATCCAGTGCAGGGGCTAGCCCTCACCTCTCTTGCATCACCTCTAGCTGTCCGTGAACTCTTGGGCCTCCCTGAAAACCGCAGGCTCCTTGAGGACAAGTACCATGGCTTTGTGCGGTCAGCCTCGAGGTCAGTGCTCTGCAGGCACTAGATGTTTACAAATAATGTTTTTGTTTTAATTGGCCATAAGCAAAATCACAGAGGTGAAAATGAGTATCAGATGGGGAGGGCAGGGCCACCCAGGACCAGGGCGGGGTCTCATGACACAGTGGTTTTACTTCTGAATACACTAACCTGCTATTGTGAAAAGCAGCGGCGGCTCCAGGGTGCAGCAGCACCTTACTTATTGTACTTTTTCCAAACCCCCAAGAACAGAAATGAGAAAATAGAGATCCCTAAGGGATTCCACTGGCATTTGGGACCAGGAGTCTAGTTGGTCCCGTTGCCAACCCCTAAATGAACTTTACCTGACCTTTCCTAATCTGTCAACCTCCCTCCTAATCCATAATACATGCTGACATCATGTGCTATCAAATTTCTGTCCCTTTACAAATTATTTCCCTTAAGCATTGAGCCTAAAATTCAGGGCCGGCCTGGTGGCGCACTGCTACAGTGCGCCGCTTGGGAAGCGCGGCGGCGCTCCTGCCGAGGGTTCGGATCCCACATACAGACCGGCCGCTCACTGGCTGAATGAGGAGCGGGGGCAATGCCAAGGGTTGCGATCCCGTTGCCGGTCCCGGTCCGGTACGGGCGCGACACTGAGGGTTGCGATCCGTTGCCGGTCACGAAAAAAGACAAAAAGACAAAAATAAAATAAAATAAAATAAAATTCAGCTGGCGTGTGTCTGAATGGGCCAACTACTGTTCTTCTCCCCAGGAATGGAAATCGACATAGAACTTCATAAACAGCGAGGCAGCCTAGTGCAGATGAAAGAGCATGCAGAATTCTTCATTAGGAACTTAGAAGAGCACCAGGCTAGTAAATATGGTTTTCCAGAAACATAAGTGATTAAAATAAGCATAAAATTACCTGTTATCAAATTATCATGAATAAGAAATTATTGGGTCATTTAGAGCAAAACTGAAAAGAATACAAACACTTAGTCAGGAATTTAAGATCTTTCTCAATTAAATTTCACTTGTAAATATCATGATTTAGGCCAACTCTGATTTTACTTAATCTACTTTAAGTAGAAGATTTTACTTTTCTTTTACATACCAGGGTTTGGGTGTCAAACTGTCAGCTCTGGCCTGTACACAATTTTTCATCTCATGCCTCTCTTCTTCTGAAAATACTAATTGCCTTGCTGGTCAGCTCTGATTCCTCTCAGGAAAGAATCTGATTTATGCCTATATTCTGGTGAGGTCCTCCAAAAAAAGCCTTGGGTCCCTAAAATATTTCTTGCTCCATGAAGAACTGCTTCTTGTGCCAGGCATTGTTTTCTCTGCACCACCCAGCCTCATTCTCACCAGAAGAAGAGATGGCATGCGGGGCTCGGGTAGGTCCATAGGATGAGCTTCCCATAACCGTCTTTCTCCAACCAGGTTAGTCTCCGCCTGGCCCTCTTCTTTTGCAAAATACCCTTCCCTGTGAAGGGTGTGAAAGTTTAATCATCATCCAGAAATAAGGGTTTGTATGTGCCAGGCATGGCTTCTCCCTCCTGGGTTTTCAGACCATGGAAAGATGGGACAAATACATTTCACGTCAGGCATCCAAGGCATTGCGTTGCTAAGTGCCAGTTGAATGCGGGGAAGCCAAGGTGCTTCTGAGATTCGCAGGAAGACACTCCCTGGAGCCGAGGTCCTCAGGAAAGCTGGTCGAGGATGCTGTCCTTGTGAGCTCTGCAGAGAGGGAGATGGGGGCAGTTCAAGCAGGGAGTGAGCGTGGGGAATGGACAGGCGGAGAGTGAGCATGTTGCTTCCTAAGGGCTCCATAACAAAAACAACAGAAACTTACCCTCTCATGGTGCTAGAGGCTAGGAGTTCTAAATCAAGGTCTCAGCAGGGCCCATGCTTCTGGGAGGTTCAGGGAAGAATCCTTGCTGCCTCTCCCTAACTTCTTGCAGTTGCCAGCAACCCTCATCTTGTAGATGCACCACTCCGACCTCTTCCTGTGTCTTCACATCGCCTTCATCCCCACCTGTGCCTTTGTGTCTCCAAGTGTCTCCTTGTAAGGACAACATTCATTAGATTGAGGGCCCTCTCTAGTTCAGCATGGCTTCATCATAACTTATTACATCTGCAAAGATTCTATTTCCAAACATGGTCATATTCTGAGGTTCTGGACACTGTTCAACCCATGGCAGTGAGTGTTCAGAAAATAGTTTGATGTGAGTGGACAGTTTGTTAAAGAGTAACAGGTAAAGATCAGACTGAGAGAGACTTGAGCACCAATTTACAGGCTTTAGAGTCTCTACCGTGGGTAGAGATAGTAACAGCAGCTAACACTTGTAAGTACAACAGTCGCTATGTGCCAGGCACTGTTCTGAGGTATGTATGTACAGTTACTGTTTATTGTTCCACCTTAGATGGAGAAACTGGGGCACAGAGAGACTAAATAACATGCCCATAGGCAGAAAGTAACAGAGCCAACATTTGGATCAAGAAACTTGGCTGGAGAATCCAAGCTCTTAACTGTCATGCTATTACCTTTCTCCTTCTAAACATTTTTAATACATTTGACCGGAATAGGATATACAGTGGTTTCTCCTGAATGTAGTGTGCTTGCAAGCAAAAGAATAAGCTCTATGACTTTGGTCAATGTTAAACGTGGCCACTGGCCTGGAGAACAAAGGAACTTCTTTAACTGGTGTCAGCATCTAAACCTTTGACAGCATTTTTGTACTGTTATCCCCATAGCACATGATTGTCTGTGTGTGTGTGTGTGTGTGTGTGTGTGTCATTTCAGAAATGGGGAAAGTCTTAGTTTTAAATTCCTGGAACTTTCAAGGATGGGGTTGTTTGCAAGGGATTCCACAAGTCAACTACACCATACCCTCCCCCACCTAGGAAACCCTACACTTACCTGGTCACCTTTTCTAGGGCCTTACAACTAGGATGACCAACCATCCCTGTTTGCCCAGGACTGGGGGGTTTCTTGGGATGTGGGAATTTCAGTTTTAAAACTGGGATAGTCCTAGGCAAACTGGGGCAAGTTGGTCACCCTACTTACAACCCCCTTGTTCTGTACTGCAAGATAAGTCTTTCTCTAATGAAGAAGTGCTCCCACAGTACTCACAGGGAGAGAGCAGAATGTCTGTCCGGCTGGTACCCTGCGTTTTCAGAGATACAAATGACATCTTGGTTCCTAACAATAGGAAGATCTCTGGAAGTAGGCGCACAGTGGTGAAAATAAGTGGAGTGTTAGGTTATTCAGAGTGGTGCTGTTTTTCTTACAGGAGAAGAGGAGGAGGAGGAGCCTGAGATGCCAGTGGGCCCCCGCCCCCGCCCCCTCTCTGAGCTGCACCTGAAGGAAAAGGCGGTGCCCATGCCAGAAGCCAGCGCATTTTTCATCTTCAGCCCCAATAACAGGTGCGCAAGAATGGCAGGGAAGTGGGACTCTGCTCACGAATCCAGCAGGTTCCTGTATTTCCTCTGAACCTCTGGATGGAGCCTGGAACTCTCCTGACTCCCCACAACTTGTGTGAACAGACTCCAATTTAGGGGAAAGATTCCTGCATACTGAATCAGAAGATCTGCATTTATTTTCCCCTCCCCTTTTTGAAATGTATAAACTCTATTTCTATTCTTTTGATGATTACCCGTGATAATTTACTAAGTCTATTTAACATAACAAAATGTAAAGTTAAACAATATTTAAACCTCCTCTTGTACTCTAGAAAGACTTAAACTATTTTAACTCACTCATTTCCTCCTGACTTGCATGTTATTATTGATAAGTATTTTAGTCCTGACCTTTATTTTTCTTTTTTTTTTTCCTTTTTGTCTTTTTTCGTGACCAGCAACGGGATCGCAGCCCTCGGTGTTGCTCCCACACCTCACTCAGCCAGTGAGCGGCCGGTCTGTATGTGGGATCTGAACCCTCGGCGGGAGCGCTGCTGCGCTCCAAAGTGGCACACTGTAGCAGTGCGCCACCAGGCCGGCCCCTGACCTTTATTTTTAACCCAAATTAGACATCATTGTCATTGTTATTACTATTATACAGACAGTGTGTACTTGGGTTTGCATACAACTTACCATTTGATTAGTTCACCATTCTTTATCCATCTCAGTCCATCCTTCTGCAAACATTTGCTTTCTTCCTAAACTACATTCTTTAGAAGTTTCTTTAGTTCCCTGTAAGTTAACTTGGCCCCTATTTATCTGTAATTGTTTTCATTCCTTGTTCTGGATAGTCTTGCTGTGTGTACAATTTTAGATTGACAGCTTTTGTCCCTCAACACATTAATGGTTTTATTCCACTGTTAAGTTAGCTGTCATTCCAACTATGAAAGGCCTTTTATGGTTACTTATTTCTCGTGTAAGTAACCTACCCTTTATTTCCAGCTGCTTTCAATATCTTCTGTTGTCTTTTGTGTTGGGCATACTTACTGTCATGTGTCTAGACATGAATTTTTTTCCGTTTATCTTGATTAGAATATGTTATGCTTCCTGAGTCTATGAATTTAAATTTTTCTTCAGTTCTTGAAAATCTGCAGCCATCATCTTTAAAAATTTCCACTTCTTAATTCTCTGTTCCTTCTTTCTGTCAATTCAATTAGACATGTTAGACCTTCCCATTCAGGTCTCCCTGTCTCTTAATGTGTCTAGCATGTCTTTCATCTCCTTGTCTCTCTTTCAGTATTCTCAGTGATTTCTTCAGATATATCTTCCAGATTCTTAATTCTCTTTTCAACTTTATCTACATTACTGTTTACAGCAGCATTTTTATATTTACCATTATATTTTTTTATTTCAGACAGTTCAGTTTGTTGCTTGATTCTTCAGATCAATCTGTCTATAACTGATAGTTTTTACTGATTCATCATCTTTGCAACTGAGTCCTTTATTTCATTAACTATTTCAAATTTAGTGGTTCTATAATATGTATCTGATATTTCCAATATCTACAGTCTTTGGGGTCTCAGCACTTACTTGTTGTTTCTTATGATTTCCCATCCCAGTGGCTTGTCCTCTTGGGTGTTTGATGATCTTTGATTGTGACCTCAGCACTTCATCGTCATGGGTGAGAGTCCTGAGGACCTGAACTGGGGTTGGGGAAGCTTTCTTCAAGTTCTTCTTGAGTGTGTTGGCTTAGCTCAAGAGTTCCAAGCTTCCCTGCCTGCCCCACCTCAAGACCGGCTTGAGATCCAGTTTCCTGACAACACTGCTGTTGTGGGCATCCATCCTTGGGCAGCTCTCCCTTCCCAGCTGCCCATACACAGACCTCAGCTCAGTGGGGGTGGGGGGGTTGATTTGATGGGGATGATCTTTGCAGACCTCTCCTAACTCTCATGAAACCAAATTGTCTCAAAGAGTCTGTCCTTCCCAGGATTTGGTGCCTCAAGCCTGACCACCACCCTCCTCCACTACACACACACACATATACACACTACAGGCTGCGTTTCTGGAGAAGACTCTCCTTCTTGGTTGTCAGTGTTTTCATCTATGAAACAAAGGTGATAATAACACTTATACCTCCCTTCCTGTGCTGTTGTCGAGATGAGATAGTATACAAAGCCAGCTGTTAATGAATTTTCATATTTGAAAATTCAGAGATTCCCAAACGTCTCAGACCTAACTCTCCAAAATGCCTAAGGTTGCTGTCTGTGGAAGTGCTGCCTGGTTCTGTAGCGGCATGCATCACAAAGCATTGCCTGGTTCTGTAGAGGCATGCATCACGTGGGTGGGGCAGGTGGCTATCATTCCCAAGCAGCAGTGAGACTTCAGGCTGAAGAGGCTGTTCCCCAAAACAACAAACACCTTTTGCAAGCTGACAGAAGATTGGAGGGGAATGGCTCCTGTGACCCAGGGAGCTGTTTCCCCTCGTCTTTCCTGACGTATCTCTCCTTCTCTCCTCCTCCCCGTGTAGGTTCCGCCTCCAGTGCCACCGCATTGTCAATGACACGATCTTCACCAACCTGATTCTCTTCTTTATCCTGCTCAGCAGCATTTCCCTGGCTGCTGAGGACCCTGTGCAGCACAGTTCCTTCAGGAACCATGTACGCTCGCCCTTGTGTTCCCTGCACCCTGCCTCCCGGGTGCCACTGGGCCCCCAGCATCTGTGCTGACCTCATTGTCCAATCGGGAGCCCGATTCAAAATCTCATAAGCAGATGCACAATAAGCACCTCTTTGAGAGATTAGAGCTTCCTCAGAAGCCCGTCTTAGGACCATAAGCAAGTGAGAGAGTGTGTACCAATGCCTCAGCTGGTGTGAGCACTGGCAAAGGCTGGGACTTTCATGATCCCATGCATGTCCCTAGGAAGCTCTGGTTTGCTGTAAACTTAGTAAAGCCAGGAGGTCACTGACCTCCTGCTCTGTTCCCAGTGGGCTCTGACCAGAGGAGAGCATTGGCACGTAGGTGCCAATGGTAAGGCTGACCTCTTATGGAAGAGAGCCTGCACGATCTTCTGTAGAATAGAACTAAATCTGGAGGTCCACCCGGGCTCTGGTGAATAGCATGAAAGGCTAGAATAGAATTTCTATACCTCAAAACTTTATCAAATCCCAACCAGGTGGACACAAAGAGAGGAGCCCACCAATCTTAAGTCGAGCCCATGCCAAACCACTGGAGGTCCTGGGGTCTGCTTGCTCTAGGGCTGTCTTACCAGGGTTAGCAGTTGTTGGTCCTAGCTCCTGAGATACAATAACACAGGAAATCCTATAGCCTGTCCTCAGCCTGGGGGATGCTCATTCCCACACCTTGAGGACACAACACCAGTATAGATTTCTACCAGCATAAGAAGCTAGCTAGCTGAGTCACATCAATGTAAATTAAGCATTTTTGACTCTCCCTGTTAAAAATAAGTAGAACACCCATTCTCAGTCCTAGTGGTCTGATTTGGGTTTGTAAGTAAATTGGATCAATGAGAAAAGCATCCAACCAGATGCTGCCCAGACCCAGTACCAGCTGTGGCCTGCCCTGCAAGCTCCTGCCATGTCTGGGGACTCCCCAGTGCATTCAGCTACCTGCGCTGGCCCTTCAGGACCCAGTGCCCACACCTGCCCCTCATCCCCTCGCTCGCTTCCATGTGTCCCTGTGGGCAGAGGCCCCAGTGGCGCACATCTTGCTGTGGGATGTGACTCATTCTCTAGGGAACATGCACTGACCTCCCGTCCTGCTTTTCTCCCTTCCCCGCCCCATCCCCACCTCGTTTTGTTTTGTTTTGCAGATTCTGTTTTATTTTGATATTGTTTTTACTGCCATCTTCACCATTGAAATTGCTCTGAAGGTAAAGCCCCTGACCCACTCCCCTGCTCCTGTCCTCCCTTGCACCAGTGCTGGCTCTCCGCTGCTATCTGTCGCTAACACACATACGCCTGTGGGTGTCGGGTCACTCTCAGAGCCACTAATCCAATTATGCTTATTTTTCAGATCCTAGGCAATGCAGACTATGTCTTCACTAGTATCTTTACATTAGAAATTATCCTTAAGGTAATGCAACCTGAGCACTGCCTTCTCTGTCTCCTCCTTTGTCTACCTCTGCTCTGTCTGGCTTCTCTCTCCTCCTTCTGCTTCTTTCACGCTCTCCTTTTGACTCTCAAGCCTGAAATTGGAAGAATTAGTGCCTTCACTTTGTGCTGTGCCTTTTGCCCAGGCTCAGAAGCCAGAGGAAGCCCACCCTACTGCAGCCCCTCCTCTCTGGCCATCATTAAGCAGTTCTTGTCCTGGAAGAGACATGTAGCTGACTGTGCCAACGTTGATGCTGTTGCGTCATGATTTGGCACTGTGGCCGTCAGCAGTTCCCCTCCGCACACGCTCACTCGCACCTTCTCCAGTTAGTGGATGACTGAGCCCTCCTTACCCCTCTCCTTCCCTCCTCCTGCCCAGAGGATGTGCCACACAAGCTCCCAGAGCAGAAGCACTGTTGGGGCCTAGAGTCACATGGGTTCTCTCTGGGCACCTGTCATCCACACCCTCCACGGTACTTACAGCAGACGTCAAGGATGAGCTGAAGTTGGGGCCTCATGATCATAACCATGGGCCTAATGCAGGATTCGGAGCCAGTCTCCCAATAGAGGGCTTCCACAGACAACTGTACATGACCTCCAGCCTCTCAGTTCCCTGCTGAAAAGCATTGTCACAATGCCCCTTGCCCTAAGCATGGGGGAGGGAAAGGTGTCCTGAAGAGCTGAGTGCAGGGGGTGAGAGCCAGGCATTGGGAGGGGCTGGAACACCCAGACCCCAGCCTGGCCTGCTTCTGGCCCAGCCCAGCGCCGGATGGAACTGCTCCAACTTGTTATCCCAAACAGGTGGTGCCCACCTCTGAACAGCCCTGGGACAAAAGAGATTATTTCCAGGTTTTTCCAATATATTCCTGAGCCTCTAAACCAGTACATCACCAGGCCAGTTCATCTGAGATTCAGGATGTGTGTTCTGAGACCCTGGGCAAAGTGTGCTCCTGTCAAGGCGAAGGGGTCAGCTTTACCCACACGGAAGGCTTTGAATCTTGTGCTTCAGCGTTAGCATGTTTTTCCTGGAGGCTCGCCTGGGACTCCCCTCCCAAGGCATTCAGGTTCCATTTTTGTCTCATCACTGTGCTGGTGTGAGCTGGTGTCCGCACCTGACTGAGTGCCACTGCCAGCTGCAGACCCTTCCTTTCCCAATGAGCACCACATCATAGCCCAACCCTTCACAACATGTGACAGTTCCATAGATACCAATTGAGAGGCAGTTTTGTGTGCCTTCCCCAGGAAGCTCAGTTGTCCAGGCCCCTAGCTTCTGTCCCTGGTCCCAGCTAACCAAGTGTGTTGCTCAGGTTTTTCTTTTCTATACAGAGAGAATAGATCTGATCAGGCCCCAGTTCCTGGAGGTGTGGAAGAGGGAACCAAGAGTTGCATGGCTGCATTAAGATGCACTGTTTGGAGCCCCTTTTCCTGGACTTCACACTCGGAAAGGCACACAGACACCCAGGGTCCTTTCCCAGGACAAGGAAGGCTCTGAGACTTGGTTCTCAGTGTCCCTCTGCAGAGCTGCCTTGTGGGTTTCAGTGGTGCAGTTCTCCATGCAGGCAGAAGTGAAAGGCCTCTGCGTGCCCTGTCATGGCGAGGGCCCCCCCCTCCTTTCTCTATTCTCTTTTGTGCTCAGTGTGCTTCTGAATGTAAACCTGGTCCCCAGTACTCTTCCCTGCGCCCCTCCCGCTGGGCCCCTCTTCCTGGCCTGCAGGCCCAGCACCATGCCATGCAGACCACGATGGCTGCCCGAGAGGGCCATAAGGTGTGGGGAACAGCTGGAGCATCTGGGGAGGTTTGGCCTTCATAAGAAAAGGCTTGTAGAACAACAGCTGGCCTGAATAATGCAGAGGACTGTCCAATGGAAGAGGGAGGAGGTGGAATCAGGACCAATGAGTAGAAATTAGAGAAGATATTAACCAGCAGAGCTGCCTAGAGGGGTGATTGCCATGGCTGAACACAGCGTGTTCCTGCCCTCCCGGCTCAGAGAGATTGTGAACCTGTGTCCATCCCTGTTCTCACCTCAGTGTGGAAGTACCCCTGCTATGGGCTTTTCCTGGACGATGGCTAGGAAGCAGAGACCAGGCAGTGGCAATCAGCAAAAATGAGGAAAAGGGGGGCCGGCCCGGTGGCGCACTGCTACAGTGCGCCGCTTGGGAGCGCAGCAGCGCTCCCGCCGAGGGTTCGGATCCCACATACAGACCGGTTCCCGCTCACTGGCTGAGCGAGGTGCGGACGCAGCACTGAGGGTTGCGATCCCGTTGCCGGTCCCGGTCCGGTACGGGCGCAACACTGAGGGTTGCGATCCGTTGCCAGACACGAAAAAAGACAAAAAGGAAAAAAAAAAATGAGGAAAAGGAAGGACACTTTGCACCAGGCACCTGAGCCAGGCTTTTTCTGATGCCCTGAATGCCATAGATGACTCAAATAAATGCCCCACTTCCCAGCATCCCCTTGCCCTTGCTGCCACAACCACTCTTCCTCTGGCTATACACACACCTGCCTGAGGAATTCTTTTCCCAAATGCAGAGGGCTCTGCTGGAGTTCGGTAGTAGCCTCAGAGGATCCAAGCCAGGAGCGAGGGAAGATCAGGCCCAGCCCTTCTCTGAGATTAAAAGGCGGCAAGGGAAGGTGCTTGGCCTTCTGCAGGCATGGAGGGCTCTTGTGTTAACATGAACCACGGGAGCCACCTGAGTCCAGCCTCTGGAGTCCCAGGTCTCCACTGAGGGACAGGGTAGGGAGCCTTCCAGATGGCAGGTCATCGAGAGAGATGTGCAACTATACCCCTGCAACCTTTTATATAATCTACCCACTGCTAAAAACCATTGCAGAGCACAGGTACTTGAGTCCCCTGTGGCCCTTGCTGCAAGAGATAGATGGAAGGAATTAGGTTGCAAGAGCTATTTTTGCCAATTTTCCTCTGTGTTTGCTTTTGAATTGCTCTGTGGACTTGCCGCCCTGGGCATGCTCTGATTCCAGAGAGATAAACTGGACCCCAGATGACCAGGGAGCCACTCTCAGCTTCTCAACCGTCAGCTCCAGATTTTTCCCTGTGGTTGGCACCTCACTGCCCACAGCCCTTCACAGCCCTTATCCTCAATATCCATGGTCCCTTGATTCAAGCAGCAAAATGTGGAAGGCTGTGTGCTGAGCGCCCAGCTCTACACCAAGCTCTGAAGGGTGTAGTAACGGTCAAGTCCTGTCGCAATCATCATCTTATGTGTTTTCCTTTCAGAAGTTTTCAAAGGGCTTTCACACTGGTTTTTTGTATGAGCCTCACAAACAGCAAATAGTACAGAAAAGAAACTGAACTTCCCTCATACGGAATAATCTAAAATTCAAATCCAAGCCATAGGGACAGTGAACTCTTCTGAGGAGCTGACTCTGCAGGATAGTGTTCTAAGTGTTTTACAGACATTACTCCATTGAAGCTTGCAGCCCTAGGAGGTAGATGTGATCTTTATCCTCATTTTGCAAATGAGGAAACTGAGGCACAGAGAAGTTAAGTATCTTGCTGCAGGCCACACAAATAAGATATCATAGGGTTGGGATTCAAACCTGGTCTGGCTCCAGGGTCTGCGCTCTTGACCACTGCTCCACACTGCCCTTCTCCACACACAGCTCTTACCCTTGGAGGACCCCAGAGGCAGTCTAGGAGCAACACAATAGAATTGAGTTTAGAATATTTAGATCATAAGCACTGTTTGAGGCCAGGAAGTGGAGGAATGCTACTTGCCAGAGTTACTGGTAGAACTTCTCACTGGGCACTAGGGTGACCAACTGTCCCAGTTTGCCTAAGAAGGGGGTTTCCTAAGACACAGGACTTTCAGCGATAAAGCCAGGCAAGTCCGGGGCAAACCGGGACAGTTGGTCACCCTCCTGTGTGTGTCCCCATCTTCCCCAGATGCCTATTGCTCTCAGCTGGCCCTGAGGGCAAGAAAATGTGGAGAGGGAATTGGGAAATGTGCATAAAAGGGAAACCCAGCCTGAGTGACGGCAGCAAAGGACCCTACAGGGCTGGAGCCGTGGACTTGTGACGAGGACCAGTGGAAAGTTAGAGAGGGGTGGCGGGGGCCATTGGAAAGGGCTTTGAGTGCAGGACTGAAGGGCCTGGCATGGTCTGGGAGCTGTATGGAGCCATTTATGCCCCGAGATGGGGAGCTCTGTGCTGGCCGTGGGAGCGCTTGTGGGGCCCTTTCTTGGCACTGCGTCTCCTTTTTAGTCCTTCCTGTTCCCCTGGGGCAGTGCTTGGGACCTGCTCCAGGGGTGCTGGGGGAGGAAGAGGGCTTGGGGTCTCTGGCATGTGGGTGGGCCACTCACACTCAGTCTCTCTGTACCTCCCCGCAGATGACTGCCTATGGGGCTTTCCTGCACAAGGGCTCTTTCTGCCGGAACTACTTCAACATCTTGGACCTGCTGGTGGTCAGCGTGTCCCTCATCTCCTTTGGCATACAGTGAGTAGGGCTCCCTCCACCCAAGTGGGGGCATGCAGCTGGGAGTAGGTGTCAAAGAGGACGTTCCTGCAGGGCCACTGCAGTGTGACGGTGACATACATGGGGTGGGGCCTCTGAAGTCGTGCACCATGGCAGCTTTGATTTCTCATGTCCATGTCCTCAGCGGTATGACATTTGGGGGTATGTTGATCCAGCAGGAATGTCTTTAAGTATCTGGATTTTGCTATGACAGACAGGGCCAGGCCCAGTTATAAAGAAACAGTCATCTCTAATACCTTCCTACCTCCTCATCTAAGCGCCCAGTGCCCTTGGCTTCAGTTGCCATGAGCCTGCCATTGCCATGACCTACCCTGACCTCTGGTCCATCATCCCTCCCTTTCTCTTACCTCTTTCTCCAGTCTAAGCACCTGGGGTGTGTGTGTGTGAGAGAGAGAGAGAGGACTGATTCTCAGTCTTGGCTTTACAGTGAAATTACCTGGATAGCTTTAATTTTCATTTAATTGGTCTGAGGTACAGTCTGGGCTTCAGGAATTTAAAAAGCTCTCCAGAAGATTCCCCCATACAGCCAAGGTTGCAAACCTTTGTCAGGTTTAAAAGGATCTGCCTCAAGTTCCTAACGTGATAATGTGAATCCTGCACTGCTTTCACATGCACATTCTTCTACAGTCCTCACACAAAAACCTGCGAGAAGGGCCGGCAAGTGCTGATGTCACCATTTTATTGATGGGAAAACTGAGGTCCAGGACGTCATGGGACTTGCTGAAGGTCATATCAGTGGCAGAGAAAGTCCTGGGTCTGACTTCCCAAGAGTGTTTTCATGGTCAGCCCACATAGGGTGGAGATGGGGGACTTGGAGTGAGACCCTTTTGTGTGATCATCAATTATGTTACCCAGAACTTTTTGCCTGGTTGTCTACAGATCTAGATTTTAACCCCAACACTCCCAATAAATCACTATTTAACATTGAACCAAGAATTTCTCCTCTTTAGTCTGCATTTTCTCCATCTGACCTTTAAATCTCTTCCATACAAACTGACTCCCTCCCAGAGACACTGTGGGAGAGATGCAGTGGAGATAAGAAAGTCCTCTGAACTGTGGAATAAAAGAGCCATGAGCCAGCTCTTTTATTCCAGCTCCCACCTGAGCCTGCCATCCTAGCCACACAAGGAATAAAGTCAGCAGTTGCAGACATGTCACACAGTTTTTAGGTCCCCAGGCAGGTCTGAGGCGCTCTGAATGCTTCAGAGGATGTCTCACAGACTGTTTGCATGTGAGGGTGGGGATGCCCTTCAGAGTTGCTCACCAGCCTAGAGTGGTCAGCCAGCCCCACTGGGCTGGATGGATAACTTTGGAAACCATCCAGGCATCTTGCCGAGGGGCCTGGGGGGACCTGCCCCTGACTCCCCCTTTCCACCAGGGAACGACACTTCCTGAGGCTGTCAGAGGTCTGGCTTGGCCTTAGCGTCCCGGGTGTGTGGGACCTGCTGCACAGAGAACGTTCTCTCCTGGAGTGCTGAGTGTGCCATGAGCCCAGGAGGGTTTACATACCCATGTAATGGTCAGCTACCTGAGATGTATGTCTGCAGATGAGCCCCAAAACCTCACCTCACAAGCACTGCCTCTAGCCACAAGGCCAGAAGCTTGCACTTCCACAACTGCAGTGATGTCTTCAGCAGACATAATAACAAAAGCACCATTTATTCAGTGTATAATATGTGCCAAGCACACAGCTAGGTTTTTCCCATAAAATCTCACTTAATCCCTGCAACAACCTTATGAGCTGATTACTGCCCCATTTTACAGATGAAGAACTAGGGCTCAGAAAAAGGAGTTTGTCTTCAATGACCTGGCTGGCAGGTGGCAGTGCTGGGGCTTGAATTCAGGTGTGGCGTGCTCTAAATCTCCCTTCCTGGACACTGCAGATGTCCCTGGGCAGCACAGTATATTGCTAATGACTCATGACCCTTCACTTCTCATATTATTTTCTCACCAACAGCAAAGTCCCAGGGTCACAGGCAGGCTCCAGGTTCTTCTGGGGTGGGAGACAGGAGTAGAGAATGGTCCCAGAATGGGAAAGTCTTCAAGACCGACTTCACACGGCCTCGAGTCTGCCTGGGCTTAGCCTCAGGACGCCACCTTGCCACCTTGCCACTTTGCACCCTGCTCCTCCAGAAGCTCACTGCCCTGCCCTGTTGCTCTCCCCAGGTCCAGCGCGATCAATGTTGTGAAGATCTTGCGAGTTCTCAGAGTACTCAGGCCCCTGAGGGCCATCAACAGGGCCAAGGGGCTAAAGGTGAGTGGGTGGGCCTAGTGGGAGCCTTTGGCCCAGCGAGCATCCCCCAGTCTGTCGGCTGGGGCGAGCTAAGCGGAAGGTTGGCAGGAGGAGGTAATGGCCAGGCCAGTGCTGCTGTGTGGGAGCCTGGACTCTGGCCCCTCTTCAGGCCCTGGTTCCATAATGAGCAGAATGGTAATGGAGGCAGCTATCCCAAACCTGAGTTCCCAAGCAAAACTTTGTGAAGGGGAGATCCCCACACAAACCTAGAGCCCACCCGAGGCTACAAGGTTCCTATATTCCTACCACTGTACAATGGTAAGTTAGCAGGGCCCTTATCCTTATAGTCACCTAGAGTCCAATGGGGGACTTCGTGTCCTGACTGGTTCTGCCACTCACCGTGTGACTCTGGGAAGGTTGCCTTGCCTCTTCGAGCCTGATTTCCCTGACTTGTGGCAAGGGGCTGTCTGCACTACCTCCCTGGAGGAAGAGGCTCCTGGCGGCTCCTGACTATGTCCTTCCCCTGCCCGTGTCCCGTTGCAGCACGTGGTTCAGTGTGTGTTTGTCGCCATCCGGACCATCGGGAACATTGTGATTGTCACCACGCTGCTGCAGTTCATGTTCGCCTGCATCGGGGTCCAGCTCTTCAAGGTGAAGTCTTGGCTCCAATTTGTGGTGCTGATTCCCAGGAAAGGGGATGGGTGGGGACAACAAAAAGAGGACAGTAGCCCGGGCTAGACTTGGGATGAATGTAACCTCCAGCCACATCCCTGCTTGGGCTTCCCAGACCGGAGGAGGGACTGGCCGGAAGGAGGCGTTGCTCCACTAGGCCAGAGGCCCTCACCCTCTCGCTTGGCCTGCCCTTCCTTCTGGCAAGAAAGGGAGAGCGGCCTTCAACTTCTGGAACCTCCGTGTCAGTTGCTTGCTTACAACCTGCAGCAGTTACTCACTATGAACAGTGTCAGGGGCACCGTCACCCCTTGCTGTCACAGCCCTGCGTCTGTCCACATCCGCGCCCACTGCTCCTGACAAGGCCCCTCGGCTACCACGAGGCCAGTCACCTCCGTGGTTTCTGCTCTCTTATGCCTTAGTCCTTTCGTCTGCCCTCTCCCCGCTGCAGCACTCTTCCCTGCCCTCCCTCTCCCCAGTGAGCCTGCACTGACCTCCTCCACCTGACCATCCCTCCACGCCAGCCCCACTTCCTCACCCTCCTCCCGGACCTCCCCAGAGAGTCCCCCTCTCGTGGTTGGCGCCCCCTCCTTTGCATTCCCACGGCACTCGCAGCACCGAGTGTCTTTCTCCCTGCATGCGAGTCACGTCGCCCACCTGGATTCTGCTCTCCTAGCACTCTGTACCACACAGAGCCCAGCGCTTTGCCCGGCTATGGGAGGCTCACTGACCGTTTGTTGATTGACTCATTGATAATGAACATCTCCAATCACTGTTCTTCTGCCTTCCAGGGAAAGCTCTACACCTGTTCAGATAGTTCCAAGCAGACGGAGGCGGAATGCAAGTGAGTGTAGACTGGAGGGTAGCCAGCGCCAGGGCTGGTTGGCTCTGGGAGGTGGGTGACTTGTCCTGAAGGAAGACAGCTCATTCTTTCTCGGTACAGAGTGGCCGCTGCACTGTTACCCACATGCAGTCCAGTCTCATGACATGACATCTGACATTACCTCTCTCTGAGGTTCTACCCACTGAAGTTCTTCCCCAGGGCTAGGACTGTCCTGTCCCACCGCATGCCAGGAGTCACTGGTGAGTCAGGCACGAAGGGAGATGGGAGACCCCAGAACTAACCATCTCCTGCTCTCTCAGGGGCAACTACATCACGTACAAAGACGGGGAGGTCGACCAGCCCATCGTTCAGCCCCGCAGCTGGGAGAACAGCAAATTTGACTTCGACAATGTGCTGGCGGCCATGATGGCCCTCTTCACCGTCTCCACCTTTGAGGGGTGGCCCGAGTGAGTGTGCAGGTCGAGGCCCATTGCCTGGGCACAGGGGGCCAAGACCCTGGTCTCCCACCCACTCCCAGTGTACTACTGTTCTTATCCTGCACTCCTTCCAAGAGGCCACACCTGCCCATGTTCTCCCCAGGGGATAAGCGTGTTTCCAGAACAGCCTAGAGGCTGTGGTCACTGCCAAAATGTAGACTCTTCTTTTTCCAGAAGGTGCCAACATTCTAGAAACTCCAAACAAAACTGAGGGTTTGTTGTTTTTTTCCCTTTTTGTCTTTTTTACTGACCGGTAACAGGATCGCAACCCTCGGTGTCGCGCCGTACCGGCGACCAGCACAGGATCGCGCACCATACCGCGACCAGCAATGGGATCACAACCCTCAGTGTCGCACCCGCACCGCGCTCAACCAGTGAGCGGACCGGTCTCTATATGGGATCCAAACCC